CAGTGTTACAATAGGAATTTGGACACAGATTGGTTTTACGTACTTTTTGGTGAAAGGTGGTGTCGGTAATTTTGTTGTAGACGCACTGAACCTGTCCTCAATTCTATATACTCCTCAGATACCCCAGAAGATAGCTCTATTCAGTGCTGAGCGATGTATTTTCTGGTGATAGCGAGTCGTCACTTCGTTGCTGTTGGTTCATTGCTGTCATCAACGGTAAGAAAGTTGCCCATGGATACGGTGGGTACATTGGTCTCTGAAGACGAGAAATTCAGATCATCTGGATCCAACAAATCTTCTTTATGATTGGCCATAAACTGATATGACCGATAAAACCAAGAAAAGAGCGGTTTCTATTAAACAACCAATCCTTCACTGTTTTGCTACCACTGGGGAGTAAATAGGTTCGGGGCTCAATAGACTATTTAGCATAGCTTGGTCATGGTGGGAAGCCGAGCCCAGAGCTATGCTAAAACGAAGCAAAGCCCTACGCTCCCTTGTTAACAGTTCCCTACCTGAAGAAGTGATTCCATCGAAAACGGAGTCCTCTGACATGGCCCAGACATAGCGAGTCGAGCCAAGGGCGATTCATTCTGCATTGCGTAACTCTTAAACAAAGAACTCAAAGTAAATATGAATGAAATACTATATGATATTGGATATTCGATGACGTCATCATCTCAAATATTGACGTTTGTAGAAAATATTAAAAAAGGGCGTCACCTTCATTAGTGAATTTCTTCGTAATTTTCGAACACTGGCAAAATGGTGGATCGCCTGTAGAACGTCGCCACCGCATCCTTAAAATGTTTACTCTTGTAACAATTGTCTTTAATGATGATTTGTGAGGCTGGAGAAACAGCAAGTGAGGTGGTAGTTACTGCCGTCGTAAGGAGGATCGGATTCTGGAACGGTACGTTTGTGAACTACCGGAAATTCCACGATTCTAGAGTGGCCAAGGGATAAGTATGCCAAGCTGACCCTTGTGGGCCTTGTGAAGGTCAAAACCTGCAGTGGTCACTTTATCGAAAACTTACTGAAAAAGTTCAAAATTATGGTGGGTAGGACCTAGCACTAGACATTTTTTACTTATTCGGTATTTACAATTGTTGAACAATACGTGAAATGGCTACGGTAGGCGTATATACCCAGGATCGACCGGTACCGAATCCACCGTGTCGTTGAGTCTTTTCTGAGACCCAAACAACTAAAGTTAGCAAGACGGAACAGTTGTATCGCAAACTCTACTATGAGTCTTTAGGCAATAGGTGAGGTTTGAAAACCTTTGACTACATCCAAAAATTGTTGTGGAAATGTGCGTACATGGGATTGCCTCAAAGCACACCTAGAATGGCTAAGTTGGAATCAACAAAAGTAGCTGCATACCGTCAAGAACGAGTTCGAGTACACGTTTCTCTTGCTCTTCGAAAAGCAGTGTGAGCAATTCAATTGAGGACAGATTGGAGCTGCTGTGTACTTCCTCAGTTCGTGATTTCTTCGACGGCGACGGATCGCTGATCGGAGAGCCTATCGACTCTGAAGAATCATTTAAAATCTACAGTCAAACTAGATCTAATGACCAACACTAACAAGAAGTTCCAATTGAAACCACCCCTACCCATGTTGGCATGTCCGGAGTGTCCATTCAAATTATTGAACAAGAGAAATCAAAGATAATAAATCCAGCCTACATAGTGAGAGAAAACTGACCAATCTGGCCCGAAAAAGGAAATGGTTTGGAAAGTTTACTATGGGTTCAAGAATAATTGCTACCATTTCAATAACTTGTGAGCCAAGTAACGAATTGCTGTCTCCCTTGAAAGCTTGTTGACTACAGTCCGTAGACAACTTTTCGGTTTGTCTCAGGTGAAACCTTTCAGCCAATGTCTTCCAGGCCAGTAATAGACGTATTGGGAAGTAGAAATACCAATAAGACTAAATCCCATGTGTCCTACGGGAACTTCCGCTTTAAAAGCTCATTATTCCCCACGTGAAGTTGCTCTGCTTCGCTTTCACATCCTAGGAGTTATTCAGATGATCTATGCAACATGAAATTGCTCTGCTTCGCGTTCACATCCTAGGAGTTATTCAGATGATCCAAGGCTTTTTTTGAGTCCAACCCAAAGCCTTCTAATTTTGGAATGTCTCCGCTTCTGTCAAAAAATGATGAGGGCGAACGGAAGAGAGTAAACATAGGAAAATTTACCATGATCATCGATGTCTTGGTCTTCGTCGGTACTTGCGTTCCATAATGGTCCTTGTGGAAGACGTTCAATTACCTGCCCGGCGACCACCCTGAAAAGATCCCAGATTAAGTAGAATTTGTGAAGATACTTCTAAAGAAGATGCTCTTCTGAAGATTTCAAAAAGATGGTATTTCTCCACTTCACCGTGGACATGAATCACAAAAGTATTAATGGCTCGATATCAAAAAAAATAGTTCACGGTTTTAATTTTTCACATCTTTCATTTTTTTCGGATTTGGATGATAGTGCACAGAGTTGATAGCCCGGGACATAAGGAACATGGTCCGGGAACTGAAGAGGATGAAAAATTCATGAGCCCCCTTCCCCGTATACCACAGCTCTTTTTTGTGATGATTTTTGATTTTTATTAAGGAAAGCAACATTAGAGAACACTTTGCAACGTTGCTATAAATATTTGTCCTTCAACTAAATAAACGAAACTGGTTACCGTAATCCAAGTGCAATTGCATCCTCCGTGGCCTGTTTCCGTTTCAACGCCACCTGGGCTGCCATCACTCGTTGACGCTCGGCTATGAGATTGCATTTTTCACATGCACACTCTCTGAAAATAGGTTTGAATCCTTGCCGCTGTCTAACGAAGTGGTGGAAAGCGCTGTTGCTGGTTGTGTGAGTTACTGGAAAGTTCAGTCCACACCCGAGCGGACGAGGTGCTTCATGGCCTTTGAAGGGGCTTGGAAACGGTTGTAATTGAGGGTCATTTGCTTCCATCCCCTTTTCCGATTTTCCTATGAGGAGGAGAAGGTTTAGCTTTACGGCCTTAGCTTTACACCCAGATACTCCTTTTCGCGATGCACATGGGTTGAACCTCACTGAGGCTCTTCGTAATGGTAAAGATGACCGTATTGAATGATGGCTTAGGGGAGGTGATTCACGTCAGAACATTTTTAAAAATTTCCACGATCCCCAGGGTACGTTGCTTACATGGCGTGACCCAAAAGGACTAGCTGGCCTACGCCTTTCAATGTTTTTTCTCAATACCCTCTCGAAAATCACAGTTGTCGTAGTGGCCGATGTGAGGTCCAGTGTTGACCGGTCATGTGGCCTCTTAGCCATCGATGTGGCTATCGATGGTACTTCAGTGAGGGTTGCGTTAGTGCTTACAGCCAGCCGTGATCGCGTAAGTTTTCTCTGTCGCCGTTTTATTTGCAAGTCCCACCACAAGCTTAACGGGGTCTTACCACTTTGAGTGTCCATCAATTGGTCGGATTGTGGTGCTCGCTGATTCTATTTACACACATCACAAGCGATTACCGTATCTCCTCGCAACTCTAACCACGAATATATATACACACACACAACGAGGCATGCACAACGGATACTGCGCAAACAAGAAGCTGTGGTGAGAAAATTGACACCTTCATGGCGCAAAAAAAACGGCTTTTCGAGATTATTTGGAGAAGATAAGTTGAGAGGATAACAAGGAAGGAGAATTCAGCAGTGATCAATGGCCCTGAACTGCGCTACGAATTTGCGCACAACCACAGACGTATCTGGTTGGTTGTTTGTTTGTGTGTACAACTGATTGAACCTGATTTGTTTTGAGGTTCACAAGTCGAGGATTCTATCCCTTCGGACATAACCTTGTGCCTGTTCTTTATATAAATTGTAACGGATCTCAAAAAAATGGACAAAATTTAGTTCCACTTTCAGGGCAGATATGAAATTACTCGCTTGTTGAACCTGCCACCTTTGCGCTTACATTGATGGGTGTATGGGAGGTTCTAGCTACTTTATATTACCATTTATCTCGAATACCCAAACCCGTACAGTAGGGTGAGGTATTGCCAGGTGGAGCTGCTACCAAACCCATTATTCAGAGATATTCAGAAATCAAGTCCTTGAAAGATATCAC